CATCCAACCAAAACAAAAAAATGCGCTCACTAGACAATAGATTCTACTAGATTGAGGTGTAGCGTTTAGTGCGCTTAGGCGGAGCCTAAACGAGATTACAAAAATGATAATAATTTTATTTTATTTATCATCACGCATAATTAATAAAATATAGTATTAATTAATATGATCAAATATAAAAATTATGCAAAATTTATATTCATTATTGTAGTCTAACTTTACTAAATGCAAAAAATAATCATTATCTAATTATATCACAAAATTTATATCCAAAAGTGGTCGGGCTTTCCAAAAACTAAACGAAAAGTAGTTGGTGTTGGGGTAGAACACCAAGCGCAGCGAACAAAAATACCCCTCCAACAAATATAGCAACATTACTCCAAATAAAAATAAGCCAACACAAATAAACGAGAAATAAAAAGAACACAAAAATTGATAACGGAGTTCGGCAAAAATAGCCTACGTCTCCGGGCACCGCCAACCGCAATGCCAAATTTACTAAACTCACCAACAAAATACAACTAGGGTTAAATAACTCACAAGTTAGGATTTACTTAAATAATGATTTCCTTCTAAAAGAGGAGAGAATATAATAAGGCAGAAGAGGAGAGAACAGAATAAGGTGCAGCCGTGCAATTGTAACCCAAATGCAAGAGACCTATTTATACTAATAAAATTCTACACATCTTTGGTATACATTCGATGTGGGACAAACAATATATCAAAATCTAACAGTTGGCTAAGCTTACATGGACGTACAGGTGATTAAGAAAAATGCCATTAATTTCAGCTCATACAATATTAACTGGTGTGTAAAATTTATGAAAAATGAGAAAAAATAAACTAAAAAACGAAAAGAACCCTACATTCCTATTAATTATCACAATAATCTTCACAATTTCAATGTTATCCGTAATTAAATTAGGTAACTAATATATTTTGTTTTTAACAAAGTTTGTCCCCACCCAAAACATACTGGTTAATATTTAAATTTGTCAATTTTTTTCTATCGAATATTCACTTGCATTTTCCACTAATTCAAAGATTCCAAACCCTATAATTAATTAACATTAAATGTAACAATAAAAACAAAACCCCCCAAAATTAACGTACTAATTTATATCTGACAAAATTTTAATTGTATATTTGATAGGACAACACATGCAGAAAGAGCGTGGTCCATGCACATTGGCCAATCGGGAATTTGGGATTTTATTTTTTGGAAATATTTGGCAATGTTGTAGATTTAATTATAATTAATTAATAATAATTTGAGGTACTTTCGGCGAGCTCACCTAAATGGCATAAGTGACAAAAAATTATATTTGCAAATTGTATATATTATAATTAGCGATAGATTTCAGATCTTTAATTGACCCACCGGCCGCTCAGACGCAATATATCCGTTCAAACTCATAACCAATGGTTAACAAGTTACATGAAAAAACTTATAAAAAAAATGTTTCAAATCTTATAGAAATTCGCTACTAATTAATGTGGTAAAGGAACAAATGAAGAATAGAAAATTTCATGATGATGAGGAAAATTGACCCAAGTAATGAATTAAGTTTTGAAAGTCATGTTGAAGCTAATTTTCCACTGAATTTTGTTATCAACATTATATGGACTACTTAAATAGCCCTAATCAAGAATCATTAATGATAACCGAACTGTCCATACTAGTATCAATTAGTGATTAATCATAATTAATCTCTTAATTAGTTGATTTTGAGTTTATATATGTTGTTGACTAAGGCAAATTTTTTATATTGGGTTATATCAATTTGTCCATACTATATCAATTAATATCTGATGATTAATCATAATCTCTTGATTAGTTGATTTTGAACTTATATTGTTGACTAAAGTAAAATATTTATATTGGGTTATATCAATTTGGCTCATGTCTAGGAAATGTACATCAATTTAGCGCACATTAAACTTAATACACTGTGTTACCGAAATTTTTTTAAAAAAATATATACATTAACCATGAGGAGGTGGGATAGAAAAATTCGAGCGGGAAATGAATTATTTTGTACTTAGGTCAAAAAATATTAATGGCGATATCTTAATTACTCGTGAGTTCAATTAGGTAATAAGCTAAAGAGATCTTGTATGAGTTTTTTTCTTTTTTAATCACGAATCATGCCAAATGAAGACAACTAGTAAGCCAAACCCAGTATATATATATAAGACCTTAATACATGTGAAAAATAGAATCATCGTATATGCTTTCTTTTGCTTCCACCTCTCATAAACCCTTCTATATAAAATCTCTCAGCACACACACTCTTACTCTATAGTACACACACTGGATTTTTTTTTTTTTTTTGTTGCTATTAATTAGTAACTGGTTTTGCTCTTCCATCTTCCATTCTATGGTACTCATATTTTTGTGAAATTCATCTCTTTCCTTTTTCCTTTACTTATCTGATTCTCGGCTTTCTCCTTGATTTAATGTTTATTTCTTCTCACATGTTATTATCGATGCATTTTCTTTCCTAATATCAAGAATCTCTTATACACACACATAGCATAACAGTCGGATACAAAGTCGTTAGTTGCAAATGCGGTGTCATCAAGATTCACATTGACTTTGAGCTGTAAATGAGAATCTTGATGATGCTGCATTGGCAAATACCGGCTCGCAATATAAGTTGGCGGTCAACTATCATAATTTATGGCTTCGGTAATTATGTGTTTCTCCTTTTCTAGATTTTGCTCGATTCGTATGTTATAATAGCATTTATTAGCTTGGTATTAATGTTCCCTATGGAATGGGGCTTTGGATCTTTCTTGTTTGCAGGTAGGTCAAAGGAAAAGTGTATAGGTGAAGGTAAAAGTGTTTTGTGTTGAATGTGTGAATTATGATGATGCATGATAGATTCTGTTGATGAAGCATGTTAGATTTTATTTATCTTAGGATTATAAATTGTGAACAATGTAAGAAATTGGGGAAAACGGGTGCGGCCCACTAACATGAAGCGCACCATGAACGGGGAAAGTCCATATGAAGCTCAAATGGGGTTCCATCTCAAAACCAATTGATGGAAGGAGGAGTAGCTTATAAGACTTATAAGGTGGGTCTATTTTTCATGTATGGACGATGTGGGACATTTCACAAGTGATATTCTAACAAACAAGTTGACTAAACATTCCAAAATATGTGAACTGATGGCATGGCAATGGGACAAATCGTTTCGTAATTCAATACCCAGACGTGCGAGCTAAAGTGCAAGTCATGATATGCCACAAATCATTCAACGAAATCTCCATAGATATACTTGTTGACATCTAAGCTCAGCAGTGTGGACCCGGAACTAAATACAACCGTTTAATGAAGAAAGAGCCGAGCTAAATACTCGGATCGGTGGAGTAAAAGCGAAAATCAAACCTGGGAATAAAAATAGTCTCGTACCGAGCGAGAATTAAGCAGGACACCCAGGTCGAGTAACCTTAAGTGTAAGGCCTACCAGGAAATTGTCACAGCTAGCTGAACGGAGCTCGAGACTTAGATAAAATGAGCCAAAAGTTAATATTGAAGACTCGAGCACGCGCACTAAGGCGACAGAAAGTATTAAAATAACAGTCACTTGTAGATTAATGATGAAGGATGAGGCAAGACCACCAAATGTCTGTTTGCCTACTTGTCATAGTCTCATAGGGTCACATATCGCACTAAATGCGTGTTCTTTTCATTTAATACTTGTTGTACTACCCGATGAACAATAGTCGGACCATCCTTACTATAAATAATCCTAGGAACCATTTGTAAAAGGGTTCAACAAATTCTCTCCACACAGACATAAATTATCTCATTAGATACAACATTAAATACAACTTTACCACGAATACCCGAGCTCCACCATCAAAATATTTGATCCTGTTCTTTTCTATTTTCTCGTACTTTCAGCATATTATACAGAATTAAAGTAGACTAAACATCATATTAACAATACTAATTAACCATTATTATCAGTTGATCAAAACCCTTGGTCAACAACACTATGAAAGATCTCAGTTAAAAATGTAAATGCATCATATATTATTCCAGGAAAGTTGAAACAAAACCAAAAAGAATTGAACATTGATCATACTAAGTTCTTGACACCAACTTTACCGACTCGACCACCGAATCATCGAATTAATTATTGTCGTGTCAGTGCCCGAGTCAATCAAATTTAGGGTGGGTGGATCGTCGCGTATGGATTCTTGACCAATCTATAGGAAAATGGTTTGAAACCTAAGCGTTTAGAATCAGATCGAAATTAGGTATATCGAGTGTTGAATCGACCCTTTAGGCCGATTAAGTCACAAGATATGTACTGGTCAATCAAATTAATCAGCTTTTACTATCTTAATGTGGCACGACAAAAAGTATGGAATGCAATTATTGGACTAACGTGTGATTTAATGATCGTATCATCGAATTAATTGATGTCGTGTTCAGGGGCGGATGCATGTGCAAGCTAGGGGGGCCATGGTCCCGTCAAACTTTTTTTTTATTAATACTATGTATATATAATATATATATATATATATATATATATATTTATATATAATATAATATTATGTTC